TCCCTTCCCCCCCTCCCCCCCCCCCCCCCCCCCATCAGCTGCTGGAAATTGGGTATTTTCGAGGAGAGGGTTTTTTTTTTTCCTTTTATCTTTCAAAAGCAAGGTACATCTCTTATTTAGGCCGTATTGTATGTGAGAAATACAATAAATTGAATGTTTGAGTTTCTGCTACTGTGCACTACGGGGGGGCAGCTCACGCCACTGTGCGCTCCCCCAGGGCAGGCATAGGGGGCATGTTCCCCCCGGGTCTGTGCATGGAGCGAGGGTGGGCTGTGGCTGCGGGCTGGGGCCAGGGGTGGCACTGGGCTCTTCCTGGCAAGAGGGCTGGGCCGGGGCTGCTCTAGAAGTGGGCAGCAGTGGAGATGGGAGAGAGAACAATGGGGGAATGCACCCCCGTAGCCCCAGTTGTCACGTGCACATTAGAGGTATACCAGTTTGTAGTCCACAGTCACTGCCAGCAGTAAGTTTGAGCAGGGGAAGGGGTGTCTAACCCCCCTCTCTGGCCCCAGACCCGACCTGTAGTTTGCCAAGGGGGGGCATTCCCTCCCTTGCAGACTGGGCTGCAGAGGGGCAGAGCGAACCTGGCTCTTTGGAGCAGACAGCACAGCATAGCATAGCCCAGCCGAGGGCTTCAAAGCATGCTGGGATGCTGGGGGAGTGTGATTTAACTTGAACCAGGAAGGGGTCTGGGACAGAAGCTTCATAAACCGGTTTAACCAAATCAGTTAAGTCTGGTACTACATTCAGCCAGGTTTATCTTAAACCAGTTTCAGCCATTTGGGGCATTTTTACACATGGAAGTGCCACAGCGCTGGGTGCTTTGAAAAGTGTCAGGTGCTGTGTTGCTTGCAATTGTATAAGCGGAGAAATATGCATCAGTGCTGAGAGAATGGAAGGTGTTTTAGTTCAAAAGCTCAGTGCCACCATTTTCTGTGCGCTGACGTGCATTTTGCTGCTTATACAACTGCACGTGGCACGGCGCAGTTTGTATCGGCTCATGTGCGGAGCAGACTTGATTAATTGAGCCTGCTCCGAAGTGGCAGGTCTCTGGTGTATCACGGGACAAAAAGGTATGTGTATAAATTCCCTTTGAAACTGGCTTATGTGTACTGAACTTTTGTTCTGTTACAGGTTGAAACCAGTTTCTGATCATTTAATCTGGTTTATGTGCAACTTCTGTCCCTAGCCCTGGTGCTTTTTGAGTACATGGTGTTATGGTCTTAGCAGCCTCCAAACTGGTAAAGTGAGTTTCAGCCCATGAAAGCTTGTGCTGTTTGTATCTCTCTACTTTGGTTAGTATATAAGGTGCAAATCTAGCTTAGCTCCCCTTGTTTTCAACGTTTGTAAGAGCAGCCCTGGCAATAAAAAGTTATCTTCATTTTCAAAGTATCTAACAGTCACTGTTGGGGCTGTTATTAGAAGTCTTGAAAATGGAGAGATTAAGGGCTGCTTATATCACAATACTGACAGTGCTGTGTGCTTAAAGAATAGCTGCAGTGCTATGGCATGTGCAGCTTTGAAACGCTGCAGTTTCAGAGTCACTCTGGAAGCTGCTACTAAGCCTTGAAAATGTGGGGCGATAGCTGTAATGTTGTCTAAGCTCATGTCGCTTCAAGACTTCCAATAGCAGCCCTTTGACATCTGCTTCCACTTCACTATTTTTGGCGTTTTTAAATGAGTATAGTTGCAAAGTAGACAGTTACAGTCTGTGTTCAGTTAGCCCAGGTACATTAAATTTACAAAGTACAGTCAGGCAGAAAGATGCTAGGCATTTAAGTATTCTGTGCACTTTAATCGATGTTTACAGTGTAAGCAATATGCAGCAAGATGGGTACAGGCTTTGTGGGATGTTAAGTGAACTATGAATTTATCTGCTATGCATATAAGTAGAGTGCTGTGTATTTATTTACAGTACAAAGGAATGTCCAGGTAAATAACTAATAATCTATATCTAGGGAAATTACTAGTTAAGGGTATTTATATATTTTATTGAATTATTTGTATTGGAATAGTACTTAAGGACTCTAACCAACAAGAAGGCTGCCTTGTGCTGGGTACTGTACATGCACCGAGTTGGAGGCAGCCTTTACCAACAGGTTTACAATCTGAATAAATAATTTTTTTTGTTTGTTTTTGTGTGGTGTTGAGTATTTCAGTCACTGATACCTAGGGACCTGCTCAAACTGCGATTTCTTGATTTTCACGGAAACCACGAAAAACAGCTATTTCCTCAAAATTGTGTGGAATCTCGGGGGGGGTGGGGGACTTGCTACTAAAAAAAATGCTGGCTCCCTAGTGGGAGCCAGTGGCTGCTGTGGCCCAGTCTTGCAGCCCATGGGGGGCAGGTGGGGGGGAGCTGCCAGCACGAAGTGGGGTGGCCACACCCTCTGCCACTGACTGACTGAGAGGATTGCTCTTCATGTAGTCCCACCCCTCTCTTTCAATTAGCGGTGTTGGATGGGGTCACAAGAAGGGCAGGCCTATTGACCAATCAGCGGTGAGGGCTGGGGCTACTGGGGCCTCTTGCCCAATCAGTGGCTTGGGACAGTGCTATAAGCCTGGGGAAATGGCAGTTTGTGCCGCAGTCAGCCTGCGAAATTGCCTGTCTGCCACCTCAGTTTTGGGTAGGTCCCTGCCAATATCCTGCCCATCAGGAATATGCTTATGTAATGACCATAGTATTTGATTCTTTTTTTTTTTTTAATTGTTTACTAAAAAGGAAAATGTTGCCTTTCTCCTCCCTCCGCTCCTCTGTAGTGAAGAAGTAACATAATAATAGCCTGTTGAGAAATGAATTGTTCTGGGATCAGTGGTGGATTGAGATGAATAGCAGATGGATGAATAGCTGGAAATAGGACTTTACACAATAGGAGTATGAAATATGAAGAATACAGTGAGCCTATATACGGAGGATGATATGAAGATTTTCTGCATTCAAATGGAAAGAATAAAAATATTGTTTCCACACAGAAAACAAGATGCTGGGCTTGTCTGTAGTTTGGAGATTAGATACGGATGGTTATAATCCAAACCACCACCTTCCTTCAACAAATAAACCAATTGGATAATTCTCTGACTTGGACTGTGAGAGCTGCAGTTTTATTTGAACATTTGCCTGCCTTAGTTTTTTGACTTTCATTTTAAATGTGGGGGTTTTCATTGTATGCATAGCTGCTACCTTTGCTAGAGTTGTGAGTGTATGGCGGTTTTTTGTTTGCTTGCTTTTCTGCAATAGACGAGAGTTTAAGGTAATACTTCTGTTTGCCAGATGATAGGCTACAGACTAAAGCTGTTATTGGGACAGAACAACCAGCTGGCTGTTGGGGGAGCAGGGAAGAAGGAAATGGCTAGCAATTGAACCATCTCGTGTTTTGGTTTTGGTTTTTTTTTTTTGCCTTTCCCCTCCCTTCACTGTTCTTTTCAAACTTAGCCATGGCAGACTGTTTGTCTTCTGGGACCAGGAAAGGATGCCACATCTAGCTATTTTTTTGACAAGAGGGGAGGGTCACTAGCAGGAAAGAGGAGGGTTAAATAAGGAAGGAGCTCCTCAAGGACCCCAGGGGAAAAAATGGAGGTCAAATTAGCTTCAGAAAGACTTGCTTTGGGGGAGGTGAAAAAGAAGGCTATAAAAGAACAAAGGTAAAATACCATATGAAATCACTTAGTTCTCATAATGTTGCCCTTTCCCATGAGGAGGCTTTTGAATAACTTTCATAGTAATGTTTCTCATATGCTAACTGTAGATTTTAAATAGTAGGCATTACTCTTTCTCCAAGCTGTTAACCTTGCAGTAGAGTTAATCAAATGTATGGGCTGGTATCTGAGTTGTACACTACACTTTCTTCTTCTTTTGTTTTAATAATATAAAAACAGCTAAATAATAAGTGATGACTATAACTATACAGACTGATCATCAGTGACATTCATTGGGTTTAGTAACCATTGTCACTTTTGAGTTAAGTGACCTTATGGTGTTTCTAACTAAGTTGTGTGTGACTTCCTGTAAGCAATTGTTATAATGCTTTGGTGGTGGTATTTAACTTCTGATGTACTGAGGGAGTGAGAGCACTTTTGGCTAAGACCTAAGCAGGTTGTTTTTAATTTACAGCACAAGGATAGATTGTAATAGCTTTCCAGTTTGTTTGTTTTTCCTAACCAGCAAGTTCTAAATTGAAGTCTAGTCAAATTTTGGAATTAAATATTAAGTACTTCTTTATAGCACTTTAAAGATGTTAAGTAATTTTTTATTAACAATTGATAGGTTCTCTCTTTAACAGTAAGTAAAATTCTTCATGGGTTTATTTTTTAAACTAGGCTGTCTCGCTTCTAATAGTTTGTCCTCTTATGGATTTCATGAGAGACATATAACATCCCTTGATTTGTTATAGTGCAACTGCACAATGTGATTCTCACCTGGTTTTTCAGTTTTGAGTTACAGTAACTAAAAAGCACAGCTTTGGAAAAACACAGCCAATCTGTTCCAAAATTGCATGGAATGTTTTTAGGCATCATAGGCCATTACCTGGATGGATGTAACTTTAACCAATTCTTCACCTCTGTTTTCTTGTGCAGGGACCGGGACTTCCCTGCTGTGATAGAAGCCGGACGCGAGGGGATCGCCTTCAGACCTCAGGTTGGGGAGGACCGGGTTAGAGAGCTTCTGGAGGGGCTGGACGCGTTCAAGTCAGCGGGTCCGGATGCTCTCCACCCCAGGGTGCTGAGGGAGCTGGCTGGGGTTATTGCAGGGCCCCTGGCACGGCTCTATGAGCGATCGTGGTGCTTGGGCCAGGTGCCAGATGATTGGAAGGTAGCTAATGTGGTCCCCATCTTCAAGAAAGGGAAAAGGGAGGACCCAGGCAACTATAGGCCCGTCAGTCTTACCTCAATCCTGGGGAAACTCTTTGAGAAGATCATCAAGGAGCACATTTGTGATGGGCCGGCATCAGAAATGATGCTCAGGGGCAATCAGCATGGATTTATTAGGGGGAGATCATGTCAGACCAACCTGATTGCCTTTTATGATCAGGTCACAAAGGCCACGGATGCAGGTGTCGCGGTGGATGTAGTCTTTCTGGACTTCAGCAAGGCCTTTGACACCGTCTCTCACCCCATCCTAATTAATAAACTAGGCGACTGTGGCATAGACGCCTACACAGTCAGATGGAGTGCAGATTGGCTGAAGGGTCGCACTCAGAGGGTGGTGGTGGATGGATCATACTCGACTTGGGGGGAGGTGGGTAGTGGAGTCCCCCAGGGCTCGGTCCTGGGGCCTGCGCTGTTCAATTTCTTCATCAGCGATCTTGATGTTGGGGTGGAAAGCAACCTGTTTAAATTCGCTGATGACACCAAAATTTGGGGGGAGGTGAGCACGCTAGCAGGGAGAGAGAGATTGCAGAAGGATCTGGATAGGTTACAGGGGTGGGCAGACAGGAACAGGATGCGTTTCAATACGGACAAGTGCAGGGTGCTGCACTTGGGTAGTAGGAACCAGCAGCACACTTATACGATGGGGAACTCCCTACTTGAGAGCACGGAGGCGGAAAGGGATCTTGGTGTCATTATTGACTCCAAGATGAACATGGGCCGACAATGCGAGGTCATGGTTGGCAGGGCTAACCGGACCTTGTCGTGCATCCACAGGTGCATCTCGAGTAGAGCCAGGGAGGTGATCCTCCCCCTCTATGCGACGCTGGTCAGGCCACAGCTGGAGTATTGTGTCCAGTTCTGTGCGCCCCATTTCAGGAGGGATGTGGACAACATGGAGAGGGTCCAGAGGAGGGCCACCCGCATGATCCGGGGACAACAGGGCAGACCCTACAGTGAGAGACTGCGGGACTTGAACCTATTCAGCCTCCACAAGAGAAGGCTGAGGGGGGACCTGGTGACCGTCTATAAACTCACTAGGGGGAACCAGAAGGGTTTGGGGGAGACGCTGTTTCCCCTAGCCCCCGCTGGCATAACAAGGAGTAATGGGCACAAGTTGATGGAGAGGAGGTACAGATTGGACATCCGAAAAAACTACTTCACAGTTAGGGCGGCTAGGAGCTGGAACCAACTTCCAAGGGAGGTGGTGCTGGCCCCTACCCTGGGGATCTTTAAGAAGAGGCTGGATACTTACCTGGCTGGACTCATTTGAGTCCCGTTTTTGTTTTTAGGGTTTTTTGTTGTTCTCCCGCCCTGGCGGGGGGTCGGGCTAGAAGATCTATTAGGTCCCTTCCGACCCTGAAACTATGAAACTATGTAGTATCAGACTAAACTGATTTATATCAAACTAGTTTATGGAACTTCTGTCCCATATACCCTCCTGATTCAAGTTGACTAACAGTCCCCCAGCATCCCAGGATGCTTTGCTGCCCTCAGCTGTGCTGTCTACTCCAACGGCGCATGGCTGGCCTTGGCTCCCTTATTTCACAGAGCTGAGGCAGTAAAGCATCTGCTCCCTAACCTCTGCCTGTGCCTGTCAGCCTGGTGGGACCATATTTGGGGGGCGGGGACAGACTCCCTTCTGCACCAGGGGCAGGGAAACCCCACTGAGGCTGGGGGATCTGGCCAGCCCTGGGCTGGAGAGAGTGTTCCCCTGTGGGAGGGATAGCAAGGGGGTGGGGGCATGTGCTTGGCAGCCAGTCAAGGATGATCCCTGTTCGGCTGTTTTCACGTGTCCTCTGCAGTGGCCGGAAAGCTAGGAGGTGTTCTCCAGCACCCCCAGCTGCTGGTATGGGCTACTGCAGAGGCCTGGCTGCCTTTCCGGTTTCAAAGTGAATGTTGGTTCACGTTTATTATCTGTTCAATCTATGCAGTTTAGAGAAACCTACAAAGATTGAGTTGACTCAGCCTGGGGTTTTTTGACTGTCTGTACTTGGCCAAGAAGGCTGCTTGTACATGCCATGGGGATTTAATTTGGTTTAGTTCTCTCTAAATTGAAACGGTGGGTTGTTAAAAGTACTGCTTCAACTTAAGGAGAATTAAACTGAAGAAAACGGCTGTCATGTGTACGCAAGGGTGAGGGCCTGATGCTTAACTGTCTTTTTTGGGGGAGAGCTGCCAGTGGGCTGAACTGTCCCTGAGCTGCACGGGGGCACCCTGAGGTAGCACCTACCCACTGGCACCTGGCCCAGGTGGTCCCGGGGGGTGCCACAGCCATGGAGGGGAGCACTGGTACCCCACACAGCTCAGGCAGGCAGGCCCTGGGGAGAAGGAAAAAAAAAAAAATCAGGCACCCCATGCACTGTTGCACTTTGTTAGGTAGGTGTCGGGACCCAGGGCAGCCGGCCAGCAGCTCTCCCTGACTCCCACCTGGGCAGTTAAGGGTCCGTCAGGCGGGTACTTGTGACGCATGGAGTGGAATTAATTAGGCGGACGCTTATCGGTTGCAAAGCAAGATTATTTACTCACTCTGTCAAGGTGGTGAAAGACGGAGGTCAGATATACTTAGTTAGTTACAGCTTAGAGTTCGTTTGGTTGGTCTGCAGACATATATACGGGCCAGCGGTCTTATCGGGCACGCGGGTCAAGGGTACGCCAGGGAGGTCGTGGCGGGAAGACGCTGACAACTGATCAAATTGTCAGATTTACTCCAAGGTGTGGACAGAGTTGTCTTTGACTTTGGCGGAAACGCAGCAGGGTTTTGTTTGTATGATAGCCAATTGTTTTTTCGCCACGTCATAAATTTAATTAGAATCGCCAATTGTATAGTGGTTTTCGCTAGGGTGTTATCATAGGGTTACTCCTTGTTTTCTTTGACCAATTATAATGATTTATGTACAGCACAGAAGGCTAAGTTCTATTTCATGTTGGTGTCGCAGTTATAAATTTCTTTTTGACATGCGCAGCAAAAAAACTGTTACTATCTTCTTGTTAGTTAACTCTTAGTTAACCTAGTACAGACTAAAACTGTTTTGAATGGTTTTACTTGTTTGTGACATGGGCACTACTTAATTTGGTTTGTGACAGTAGGAAACTAAAATACCTCGGAGTTGTTTTATCTTGCTACTTATCAAAGTAATTTAAAGCAGAATACACTGACCATGCAAACAGCAATGCCATTAAAGCGGTGCAAAAGGGCATTTAAACTGCTTTAAAGGACAGTTTTGTGGCATGTACAAGGCCCCATGTTTCTAGACTTGCAGTAAATATTTTAGATTGACTTAACTTCTGTCAAACTTTGAAAAGAATTCTGAAGTAGCTATTTATGTGTTCTGGAGAAATATGTGACACGCGTCTCCCCGCCATGGTCTATCCAAACATCTTACAATGTTGGGTGTATTTTTGTCTTCACAGCACCTCATACAAGGTATGAAGGTGTTGCCCTTCATTTTAGAGAGGCAGGATTGGGACTTGGTCTAATTCAGGTAAGCAGTCTGTGGTGGAGTATGGCATTGAATTTGGCTTTCTCAAGTCCAAAGCCAGCATCTTCACCACCAGGCAGTTCTACTTCACTGGAATTGGCTGTAAGTGCCTGCAGTATAACGTTAACTCAAGTTTATTAAAAAGGGTTTTGGTTTTTTTTAAATAAAGGTTTGAGACTGGCAGAAGTGAGGTAGTCCAGTTAAGATGGGTAACTATTATGATCTATTTAGGCATGAAAAATTACAGATAATATTGCTAGTGTATGAAAGCAACTTTTCATGCCCCTGGTATGCAAAAACGATTGTGGAAAAGCAACAAGAGAGTTTGCCATTTAATTCTAGCCTAGAACATGTGTTCTGTTTCATTAAAGAACCCATCAACACTTCAAAGGCAATACAGCAAGCAATAAGAACATGCAATAATTGAATTTTTATTAACAGCCACTGAAATGAGGTCATATTAAATATACATCACAGTAATACTTTTGCACAAGTTGTAGCAAAGAAACCTGTCTGTACATTATTCAATATGTACTTCTAGGAAAGTCTAAGATAAAATTGTTAAAACCCCCCCATTTTAGAGAGAAAATGAATTGCATTAACAAATCCAACTTATCAGATTACAAGTTTAACATTTAAATATGTAGCCAATCCTCTAAAATATGCATAAAAACAGATATTCCTGTTCCCTCACCAGTATTGTCCAGGCCAGGGTTTCCCAAACTGTGGTACATGTACCCCTGGGAGTATGCAAAACATCTCTGGAGGTATGTGGGAGAAATTGTAAAATGGTGGATTTAATTTTCATTATTTTAATAATAGGCATTTGAGGAGTTAAAATATAAAACATATGCTGGTAGGGGTACATGGGCAGCTGGTAAATCTGGAAGGGGGTACACAATAAGAAAAAATTTAGGAACCTCTGCCCTAGGCCATAGTAGAAGTGCTCATGATGCAGCCCTGTCAGATTCCAGCAAAGCTGTGAGTTCTGCTAAATACGTGTCCTAAGGACATGAAAAAGGAAACAAAAGCGGTGTTCCCTTAATCCAAGTCGGTGTCCACAGAGGAGTCTTGTGTTCTTTTCTTGTCTTCCTTTCAGTCTCTGACAGTTCCTTTACATTTCAGTTGATTTTTAAGTTTTTTGGGGGTTTTTTCTTTTTTTTTTTTTTTTTTCTTCATTTCTGTATGTGACCTGCTTAATAATTCACCCCCTTTTTCTTATTTGGAACTCTGAATAATACAACGTTAACTATCTTTTGTTCATCTCTGCTTTTAGATTTCAGATTTG